TGAAATTGCTTATTATCATGTAGTAAGGTTCTTGCCTCTAATAATATTTTGCTTTAAAGTCTGTTTTATCTGTTAGTAATATAGCTACAAAGCTTTATTTTGGTTGGTATTTGCCTGTTCATATGTTATTCTAATTTTTTAAAAACTTTTTTGCATCATTATGTTTTAGAAATGGGTCTTATAAATTATATTTAATGGGTCTCATAATTATATTTTCTTTCTTTAAAGGTCTGATAAGTTTCGTATTTATCTGAAGTATTAGTTCATTTATATTCATTGTGTTTTACCAATTTATTTGCATCTGTTTTTACCATTTAATTTTGTGCTTTATGGTTTGAATTTCTATACTTTTTCCCCTTTTATTGCTTCCTTTGGGGTTATTTTTTCTTGTTCCTTTTTATCCATCTACTAGCTTGGAAGTTTTCTATGCCTTTTTTTGTTTTTATTTTTTTGAGACGGAGTCTCACTATGTGGCCCTCAGTAGAGTGCTATGGTGTCACAGCTCACAGCAACCTCAAACTCTTGGCCTTAAGCGATTCTCTTGCCTCAGCCCCGCAGGTAGCTGGGAGTACAGGCACCCACCACAATGCCCAGCTGTTTTGTTGTTGCTGATTAGCAGGCCCGAGCCAGGTTTGAACCCGCCAGCCCTGGTGCATGTGGCTGCCGCCCTACCCACTGAGCTATGGGTGCCGAGCCTCTATGCCTTGTTTATGTTTTTTTGGTGGTTCTTCTAGAAATTTTAACTCAAATACTTAACTTACCAAAGAAGAAAGGTAGTTACAACCTTTATCTTCATCCGAAGTGACACAAAGATCTTGGGATGCTGTAATTCCAAGTACACACCTTCCCAATTTGTGAGTAAATTGGTCTTCTCTTACTTTTTTAATTCCCCAAATTGCACGCTGTTATTATATAATGTTTTGTACAATCATTTATCATTTTCTTTGCTCAGAATTTCCTCCTTTCATCTCAGCTTTTCTCTCAGGGATGGTTTTTCCTTCCTTCTGCCTCAAGTTCATCCTTCAGCATCTCATTTATTGAACAAAATAAAATTATCAAGAAAAAAACAATAACTCTTGGTTCTCTCCACAATATCTTCAATTCTTCCTTTTTTCTTTTTTTTTGAGACAGAGTCTCACTCTGTTGCCCTGAGTAGAGTGCTGTGGCGTCATAGCTCACAACAACCTCAAACTCTTGGGCTCAAGCAATCCTCTTGCTTCAGCCTCCCTGGTAGCTGGGCTACAGGTACTAGGCCATAACGCCTGGCTAGTTTTTATTTTTATTTTTTGTAGAGACAAGGTCTTGCTTTTGCTCAGGCTGGTCTTGAACTCCTGAGCTCACGCGGTTCACCTGCCTCAGCCTTTCAGAGTGCTAGGATTACAGGCATGAACCTCCACGTCTACCCTTATTTTACTTTTCATTACCATTAAGAAGTCAGTCAACCATTAGTCTAATTGCTATTCCTTTACAGGTAAAATGTCTTTGAGTGTGTGGCATTATTGCACCATAGTTAAAGCTCTGGAATCAGACTCCCGGGTCTTAAATCCCAGCTCTTTGGTTTACTAGTTGTGACATTGTGCAAGCTGATTAACCTCTCTGTATCTGTGCCTCAGTTTTCCCTCTTGTAAAATGAGAGCAATAATATATATTAGTACCGGTAGGTACGTATAGGGTTATGAGGTGTCCAGCCTTTTGGCTTCTCTGCTCCACATTGGAAGAAGAATGGTCTTGGGCCACACATTAAGTACACAAACACTAATGAAAACTGACGAGGAAAAAATAAAAAGATCTGTGCATAATTTTCGTGATATTCTGTGCCACAGGTAAGCAAAAAAATCCTCGCATAATTGGGCGGAGCCTGTAGCTCAAAGGAGTAGGGCGCCAGCCCCATATATTGGAGGTGGTGGGTTAAAACCCAGCCCTGGCCAAAAACTGCAAAAAAAAAAAAAAACCCACATAATCTACTTGCGGCCTGCAGGCTGCAGGTTAGATACCCCTGCAACTAATAAAGCATTCACAGCAGTAGTGGCACATTTTAAATGCCATTAAAGTGCTAGCTATTATTTTTTTCTCTTTATGCTTTAAGATCTCCTTATCATTAGCGTTGATGTGCCTAGGTGTAGATTTCCTTTTATTTATCCCGTTTGAAATTCACCGAGCTTTCTGAATCTGTGAATTACTGTCTTTTATCCATTTTGGAAAATTCTTCCTTATCTCTTTTCACATACGGCCTCTGCCCCATTCTCTCTCCTCTCTCCTTCTAGAACTTCAGTTAATTAGTCCTTTCCACTCCCATCTTTTGCATCTCTTTGACTGTGTTTCACAGTCTCTGTGCTGTGAATATTCCAGATAATTTTCAAAGATCTGCCTTCTAGTTCACTAATTTGTTTCAGCTGTGTGTCATTAAACTTACACGTTGAGTTTTTTTTCATTTTAATTATTATTATTATGTTTTTCATTTCCCGAAATGGTGTTTGGTTTCCAACCAAATCTGCCTGGGTACAGTTGTTATAGATTTTTGTCCTTCATTCATAGGTTCAATTCTTTCCTTTAGTTTGTTAAAAATATTATACATACATATTTTGTCTGCTATGTATATTACATATATATATTCTGGTCTGGTAAGTCCAGGATCTAAAGTCTTCGCTTGTCTGGTTCTGCTGCTGGTTGTTTGAGAGGCTCATAAAACTAGCAGAAGAACCCCTGGGACAGGACCAGCCACAGGGCTTTGAACTGTGAAAGACTAGTCTTAAGATCTTTCCTGCTCGTTTTCTTCCCAGATCTCATTTTTTTCTTTTCTCCTCCCTCTTTCTCAATTTAATTTTTTGAAAGGCTGATTCATTTCCATGATTCTAAAAAAAAAAAAAAAAAAAAGGGCCAAAAGTCTCCTTGTCAGTATGCAGTCCCTTCCCTGCTGACAGCCTGGTTATTAGGTTCTTGTGGATACTTCAGTGATACTTTATGCATATCCAAGCGAATGCAAATTTAAAAATTCATCTTCTTTGTAATGCAAATGGTAGCACACTACATATATTGTTCTGAACTTATTTTTCATTAAAAAAATGTTTCTGGGCTCGGCGCCTATAGCTCAACCGGCTAAGGTGCCAGCCACGTACACCTAAGGTGGTGGGTTCGAATCCCCAGCCTGGACCCGCCAAACAACAATGATGGCTGCAACCAAAAAATAGCCGGGCGTTGTGGCGGGCGCCTGTGGTCCCAGCTACTTGGGAGGCGGAGGCAGGAGACTCGCTTGAGCCCAGGAGTTGGAGGTCCCTGTGAGCTGTAATGTGCCACGACACTCTACCCAGGGGGACAGCTTGAGGCTCTGTCTCAAAAAAAAAAAAAAAAAAAAAAATGTTTCTGATTATAAAAGAAATACGCGCTCATTTGGAATTAACGTGAATACCCAAGTGTCTACAAGTAGAAAGTGAAAGTCTCCTTGGAATTTCATTCCCCAGAGATAGCCTCTATTATGCATCTATAAATGTATATTTACATAAATGGGTTTATGCAATACATACTGTTCCATAACCTGTTTTTTTTCTTTTTCTCCTAATAAGACACCATGACATCTTTCCATGAATCTTTCCATGTCTCCACATAGCCCAGCAGTGAAGTGCTTGGGCTTTGGAGTCAGAGCTAGGTTCTAAATACTGGCTCTGCAGCTCAGCAGCTGTAGGACTTTCCAGATCCCATCTGAGCCTCAGTTTTCTCATCTGTAAAATGGAGATAGAAATAGTACATACCTCATCCTGTTGTTATGATACCTTAATAAGATCAGTAAGATCATGCATGATGTGCTTCCTCCGGGGCCAGCTGTTCTATAAACTCCAGTGACAGTAACTTTTATTATGACTCCCTCATCCTTTATAATAGCCACAGAGGATCCATTGAGTGAAATGTTACCATAACTGAGCATTTCTGGCATAGAACTGGGGTCCACAGAAAGGACAGGAGACCTGTCCAGGGATAAGGAAAAACTATTTATTTATTTATTTCTGAGACAGAGTCTCACTTTGATACCCTCAGTAGAGTGCTATAGCATCAAAGCTCACAGCAACCTCAAACTCTTAGGTTCAAGGGGTCCTCTTGCCTCAGCCTCCTGAGTAGGTGAGACACAAGTGGCTGACACGATACCCAGATATTTTTTAGAGAAGGGGTCTCGCTCTTGTTCAGGCTGGTCTCAAACTCCTGAGCTGAAGCACTCCTACCTCAGCCTCCCAGAGTGCTAGGATTACAAGCGTGAACCACATCACCCGGCCTGGAAAGACTTTAATGGAAGGGAAAAGGAGAATGGAGTCTGACCAGGAGCCAGCTCTGCTCCCACATAGTGGCAGAAGGCTTTTATCAGCCTTTTCAGTATAGCTGACTTGGGGAAATGAGCCCGGAGTACCACCTGGGGCTCTTCTCTAGTGGGGGTCAGGATTATGGGTGTATATGGGTAGTGTGTTCCCCAGAAACTCCCTCCTTGAAACACTCCAAGAGCCTGGGGAGGGGGTTTCTGACCTGTTTTTTTTTTTCTTTTGAGACACAGTCTCAAGCTCTTGCCCTGGGTAGAGTGCCGTGGCATCATAGCTCACAGCAACCTCAAACTTTTGGGCTTAAGAGATTTTTTTGCCTCAGCCTCCCCAGTAGCTGGGACTACAGGCACCTGCCACAACCCCTGGCTATTTTTTTTGGTTGTAGTTGTCATTGTTGTTTGGCAGGCCCGGGCTGGATTTGAACCTACCAGCTCTGGTGTCTGTGGCTGGCCGCTGAGCTATAGGCACTGAGCCCTGACCTGCTTTTTTAAAATGACTGCACTCCTGTCAGGGTTGTGAGAATTCCTTTTCCACATTAACTGCTCCCCCTTTGATGAACACTAGGTTGTACCCAGTGAACCCTGAACAGACAGCATTTCCAAAAAAAAGGTGTCTTCTTTTTGTGAATTCCTTGTCATGGGGTCACTAGGTCCTTTGGATTCTCAGGATTCTAATCTCTGCCTCCTCTTTCTCTCCAAGCAGGAAGTAAAAATGCCCCAGGGGGCGAAGCTTGTGTGTTATGTAGGTTTTGACTTTTTATTACTACCCTTCTTGCTTCCTTTCCTCAGGTGGGCTGGGCTGGGGGGAGAGTGGTCCTCCACTGTAGAGGCAATCCTGGCCCCCTGGCCTGCCCTCTTCCAGGGTCTCCTAGCACTCACTCCTCTTGCCCTGTGATGCTAGATCTCGGCTTTCCAGCTTCCCCTAAATTGTGGAACCTGATCATTCCAGGATCATTCATTCAAGGATTTGTTTTCACCCCCACCTGTTTTCAAAACAATTCCCTGTGGTTTGTAATAAATTAAAAGAATCAAACAGAACAGGCTTGCAATGGGATAAAAGCCTAAGGAAAGCAAGAGAACAAGGGGAAATCTTATTACAACAACCCCTTCACCTTCACCCTATCCTGGAAAAGTACAATTGCTGGAACCAAAGTTAACCCTGAGCTTTCTGGCAGCCATAGCAAAAAACAGACGCAGTATAGACTCTGCAGCTCATTGGAAGACCAAAAACTACTCTGCACCCTGACAGTGATCATGAAGGGATTTCTGTCGGGGCATAGAGGGATGATTGGCAGCTTCACAGAGTGGGTGATGGCCACATGTGGCTGCTTCAGAGGAAGGTCTCAGAATGAGTCAGTGATCCCTGAGAGGGACATGACAGAGCTTTGTGCAGGAGAAGGTGGAGTCAGAACAGGGTGTGTCTCTCATGATGAGATGAACGTCTAGTCTGAAGCAGGGTGAGAAGGGCCTGATGCAGGGCTGGGTGTTAGGGGGGAAGCTGGGAGGATGGGGGTGAGGACAGGCACCTCCCCGGGGACACAAGCCAGCCAGCAGTGTTTATTCACCACTACTATGTGCCACGCCTTTTCTGACATCAGGAATACATGGGGCTTATAGTCCACATGGGGCTTATAGTCAAGTGAGGGAGAGACATTAAACAGCTGCTGGTGAGGTGAGCGCTCTGAAGGGGGGCGGGCAGCCCCCAGCCCTGCTTGCCTCTGAAGTGCTGTCTCCACTGCAGCTATGTTCCGGGGCAGTGATCCAGCTCCTGGGGGCCATCAGCCACCAGCAGGCAGGGGGGCAGCTACGGCCAAAGCTGGAGGCTCTGGAGGACTTGATGGAGGTCACCTCATCCTTAGCTGCCCAGAGACCCAGAAGGAAGGAGAGGCCCAGAAGAAAGGGAAGGCCCATGTCTCAGGGCCCTGCTGGGTGCCAGGTACAGAACGGGCTAGTTTACATAGATGATGTCACTTAATCCTGCTGAGAGAGGGCGCTTCACACCTGATTCACGGATGTGACATGGAGGCTCAGAGACATGGTGTCACTTGCTCACAGTCGCACAGAACCCGGCTGGCCGGCTTGGGTTCTGTGTGCTCTTTCTCCTGCACCCCTGAGTCAGGAGCTTGCCCGGAGGAGGGAGGGGCCGGGTCTCCCTTTGGAGAGGGCACTGTCACCGGCCTCAGCTTCTGGCTAGCCAGCATGTCCTCTTCCCAAGGTTTTCCAGCTGCCTCCTTCAGGAGGTGCAGCAGGGGACTCTGGGAACCTCTTTGATAATTTTGACCTTATGAGAAGCTGCTCCCCACCCCTCAGGGACCCGACCTCGGATACCGAGTGTCCTCAGGTGAGTGCTTCTGGCCCTACCATACGGCCTCCTTCACCAGGGTCTGGGTCCGAAGGACATTGGAGTTGGGGGGTGATGAGGACCAGCAGGTGGGCTCATAGGCACAGCCTCAGTTTTCACTGTCCCCTACAGAGTGGCCCAGTGGAGGCTGAAGAGGAGGAGCCTCTGCAAGAGGGAGCAGAGGACTCAGGTGAAGGCCTATGAGGATGACTGGGGAGGATTCAGACCCAGCTCTTGGCCCCAGCCCTTTCTAGACTCTCTTTTCCCCTCTCCCCGTCAGTCTAAAGTCCTTCTCCAAAGGGATAGGGGCTGTTGGCTGCCTGGGCTTGGCTCCCAGAGAGATGAGGGGGCTAGTCCTAAGGGTGGGACCCCTCTCATCTGCCTGAGCCCTGCAGCATTGAGTCTCAGCACCATTCCCCTGAGCACCCCCTAAGAGCCTGTGACTCTGTCTCCCCACAGCTCAGCTCCAGCCCCAACAGGAGGAGCTACCCCTGGTTATCAAGATTCGGGGCACTGTGGCCCGGGCTATGCAGGAGGTGCTGTGGAGTCGGTAAGACCTCACTTCCCACTTCCCAGACGCCCCCAGCTACTGGGCCATGTTCTAAGGGCTTCTGTGGGTATGGCTGACCCCATTTGGTATGGTGACCTCCATCAAGTCCTCCAGAGCCTCCAGCTTTGGCCGTAGCTGCTCCCCTGCCTGCCGGTGGCTAATGGCCCCCAGGAGCTGGATCATGGCCCTGGAAGGTAGCTGCAGTGGAGACAGCACTTCAGAGGCAAATAGGGCTGGAAGCTGCTTGTGGGGTCACCTGCCCCCACAATCAGCCAATGGAGAGCTGATATCTGAACCTGGGTCCTTCTGGCTTCAAGGTCATCCTTTCCCAGTAAGATACTTTCAGACATAATGGGAGCCCAGAGCTCCCACTCACTAATGGTAAGATTGAGGCCCAGAGAGGGCAGGACTTTGTAAAGGCCACACAGCAAGTCAGTGGCAGGTTCAGGGGGCTCTGTCCTCTCCTCAGGTGAGTCCTTACCCCACCCCCAGGTTTCCTCCTCTCCACATACCCCAGTTCTGGATTTAGCGTGGGCTGAGGAGTCAGACAGTGTGGATTCAAATCTTGCTTTGACAGCAATCATGTGGCCTTGAGTGAGCTCCTTACCTTCTCTGAGACTCAGTCACCCCATCTGTAAAATGGAGAATGATGATATTTCTTCCCCACAAGTTTAGGGGAAATCATATAGGAAAACACCCAGGACAGGCCCTACCCCCCCATTCCCTCTGGGGCCAAGTGCACAGGCTCAGTGCACACAGCCCTGTCCTTGTCCCCACAGCCTCCAGGAGCTTCCAGACCTGGTGCTGCATGAGGAGGTGGTAGAGAGTGTTGCAGCCAGCATCGAAGCAGCCCTCTTTGACCTGACACAAGGCACCAACTGTCGCTATAAGACCAAGTACCGCAGCCTACTGTTCAACCTGCGAGACCCCAGGAACATGGTGAGCAGGGCCATGGCAGGGCCAGGCTGGCCCTTCAAGGCTCAAAGACCTGGGAGGACATTGGAGTGGGGGCCCTTGGAGTGATGTGGTGCAGCCCCTGTCCCCTGTCCTGCAGGATCTGTTTCTCAAAGTGGTTCATGGAGATGTCAGCCCCCATGACCTGGTGCGGATGAGCTCAATCCAGCTGGCCCCCCAGGAACTGGCCCGCTGGCGGGACCAGGAGGAGAAAAGGGTAAGCTGTTGGGCCAAGAGAGGACATAGGGGGAGAGGGTGGCCCAAAGATGGAAGCGAGAGAGAGAGGAGGAGGAAGAAGACAGGGAGAAACACAGAAAATGGAAAACAGAAAGAGAAAGGAGACAGAGAGACTCTCCCTGCAAGAGAAATAGGAAAAGAAGCAGAAATGAAAAGGGTTGGGGGTGGAGAGCTCGGTAGAGAGGACATGCTTGGTTTTCCATGAGCTGGGCTATGGGAGGAGGGGGAGGACCAGGATGATGGTCCAGAGTCTGGAGTCCAAGGTGTCCATCAGTGTCCATGGAGTCTAGTTCCCTGACATCCCCCTTTACCCATCCTAGCTTCAGATGCCCTAGGCTGGGTGAGGGGCTCCACAACCCTCATGCTTCACAGTTTACATCCGCAAATACCCTGTGTCCATGGGTCTCTCCCTGTCGAGGACCGGCTTAGAGGCAGGAGACTTGTGGCACTGAGCAGGCTTTGGAAAATGGCTCTCCCTGTGCTTGTTGGTGGCCCAGTGAAAGAGGAAAAGACTGATCTAAGAGTCAGGGGCAGTAGGATCTGGTAAGGTGCTCAGGCCTCTGTTCTGGAAGACACTAGGCTGATCAGAATTAATAACAAGTCTTTCAGGTGAATCTGTTCGCTACAGGCTGAGCTTCTGTCCAGGCACTGTGGGGGCCAGGAATCAGGACTGGCTATGGAATTTATGGAGGCTGGTGCAAAATGAAAATGTGGGCGCTTTGTTCAACAAATGAGTCAAGGTGACATACAGCACATAATACAAAGCACTAAATGAAGCCTAGGGCCCTTCTAAAAACAGGACCCTGTGCATCTGCTCGGATCTCACGCCTATGAAGCCGACCCTGGCAGGGAGGATAGGACCCTGTCTTCCAGGGGTTATTAGAAAAAGAGAGATGGGCTTCCAGGAAAGATTTCAGATAGAAGGACATTGATCAACAATAAGAATCGCAACTAACATTTACTATGAGCCATGCTCCAGGCTAAGCATTCTGTGGACGTTGTTTAATACAGCATCTTTAATTTAATTCCTGGAGAACAGATAAACTGAGGCTTAGAGCAGCTAAGTGCTTGCCCCAGGCCATACTACCTCGTACATCTTTATTAAGGGCTCAGCTGGGACTCCTGAGCTTATACTCTTTCAGAATCATCACACCCTTCCCAGCACAGAGGGCAAGGTACAGTCAGAGCAGAATTGACTCGTGAGTGAAAGTGAAACCCGGGAAGGCTTCCTGGAGGAGGCAAGACTTGAATTGAAGGGTGAATGAGTGGAATATAGAGTGGTAGTGAGGGTGAAGGGTTTCCAGGGGAGGGGAATGGCAAAAGCAAAAGTGTGGGGGCAGGGAAAGGCCTGGCACAGAAGAGGGCCCACAGGAGAGGATCCCCAAGGGAGGAAAGAGCTTTGGGCTCTTGGTGGCCAGAGACCCCCTAACCTGGCTGAACTTGGGCTACTCCTCTTCTTTAGGGCCTGGAGATCATTGAGCAACAACAGAAGGAACCATGCAGATTTCCAACCTCCAAACTGACCCACAAGGGTGAGGTCGAGATCCAGCGGGACACAGACCAGACACTGACCCTGGAGGACCTGGTGGTAAGTGGGGGGCTGACCTTGTGCCAGGCAGGTCCCATGCCCAAGAATCCCACTCCACACCTTACCAGCCATGTGACCTTGGGCAAATCACCTAACTGCTTTGAGGCCCACCTTGTTTGTGATAAAACAGGGACAATGATCCTTAACGTATGTGATCTGGGGTAGCACAAAGGAAGACAGTGCCACTGGCATAGGCCTGCCACACCTCCTTGGTGGTGGTCCTCTCCTTTTGTCTAACCCCAAGGCACCCACATGAGTGGTCCTAGGTACTGTTACCACAGGTGCTCTACCCACATCTGCAGGGAAGCAGGAGTCCACACGGTTTCAGGCAGTGATTTTTTTTTTTCAGAGGTGAGGAACAGGCCTGCTCTATTCAGCAGATTTCCAGGGAGGTAACTGCCTGGTGCCCAGGGCAGTCAGGCCAGAGGGCCTCCTGGAACTTGTCCCAAGAGCTGGAAAGCCGACAGCAGTGACCAGGGTCTGGGTCTCCTCTCCCCCACCCTCACGGTCATCCTGCTCCTTCCTGCCTCGGTTCCTTCTCCTTGCACATGACCTGACATGGTTGCTCAGGAGCCCCAGAACTGACGTCATCTTGGCCTCCTACAGGCCGTCAGAACATCCCCTGGGCTCACTCCAGTCACGCTCAGAAGCCACTCTTCCTGTAGCTGGGTGTTCCATGAGTCAGATGTTCACCTGGGTCTAATTGGCTGCATCCAGGAGAGGGGTGCAGGGCAGGGCCCTTGAACCGTATTCATTCACCCGATACATGTTTATCAAGCTAGGCACTGGGGAAATGGCAGTGAACGTGAGACATGGAAATCTCTGCTCTCCTACCACCATTTATGTTCAGGCTGATGACTGGGAGAACTGCTGCCTGGGCAGCAAGGAGCCCTGAGGGGATGTGACTGTCCCCCAACCAAAGCCAAGCTACACTCCCCAAACTACGTGGAAATTTAGGGACAGGAGCAAGATAGACCTCAAGAGAAGCCCTCTTCCCCGAGAGAGGAAGACAGAGGGGAGGTATGGCAGTGGAGAGAAGGGGAAAATGACACAGAACAACAATCTTCGCTCTTTATTAAACACCTACTATGTGTGCCTTTTTTTAAAAATTTTTTTTTTAAATTTTTGTAGAGACAGAGTCTCACTTTATTGCCCTTGGTAGAGTGCCGGGGTGTCACACAGCTCATAGCAACCTCCAACTCCTGGGCTTAAGCGATTCTCTTGCTTCAGCCTCCCGAGTAGCTGGGACTACAGGCGCCCACCACAGTGCCCGGCTATTTTTTGGTTGCAGTTTGGCCGGGGCCGGGTTTGAACCCACCACCTTTGGTATATGGGGCCAGCGCCTTCCTCACTGAGCTACAGGTGCTGCCCTATGTGTTCCTTTTAAAAAACAGTGTATTGGCTCGGCGCCTATGGCGCCAGCCACGTACACCTAGGGTGGCAGGTTTGAATCCCCAGCCCAGACCCGCCAAACAACAATGACGGCTGCAACCAAAAAATAGCCGGGCGTTGTGGCAGGCGCCTGTGGTCCCAGCTACTTGGGAGGCAGAGGCAGGAGACTCGCTTGAGCCCAGGAGTTGGAGGTTGCTGTGAGCTGTAATGCCACGGCACTCTACCCAGGGGGACAGCTTGAGGCTCTGTCTCAAAAAAAAAAAAAAACAAAAAAACAGTGTATTCAAACCTCACAATGAACTATGAGGGGAGTGCTTTGCCCATTTCCAGGATGAGGAACATGGCACCATTTCCCCAAGGTCACACAGGAGTGGGAGTGGAACTGTGATGTCAGCCCAGGCTGTCTGACTCCAAGGCCTGTGCTTTGCCACTGCTCTGGAGGAGGTTTATAAGACAAGAATATAGTTTCAAAATCTTCTTAAGCCTCCTGAAGCAGTGTTTGTTTTGTGTTTAAAGCTACTTCTATTATGAGAGGGGAAAAGTGATTTGGCAATAGACATCAAGAGTCTTTAAAACGTTCTTTCTCCTTGATTCTGTCATCTGCTTCTGAGAACTTGTCCTAAGGAAAGTTTAGGAACATGATTTCTGCACAGAGATGTTCAGCGCTATTTATAATATTGAAGACCTGGAAATGACCCAAGTGTATGTACAGTGAGAAAGATGTTGGGTACACTGGGGTCCACCCCAGCAGAGCAGCGTCTGCAGGGACTATATAAGGTGGCCTTTGCCTCTGCTATCATTAGTGGACAAAAGGAGAGCACAAGTTGAATGTTTGATCTCAGCTATTTTAGTGAAAGTACACCCAGCCCAGGTGCAGTGGCTCATGCCCGTAATCCTAGCTCTCTGAGAGGCGGAGGCAGGTGGATTGCCTGACATCAAGAGTTCGAGACCAGCCTGAGAAAAGCAGGAACCCCCCCATCTCTACTAAAATAGGGCGTTGTGGTGGGCATCTGTAATCCCAGCTACTTGGAAGGCTGAGGCAAGAAGATTACTTGAGCCCAAGAGTTTGAGGTTGCTGTGAGCTATGACACCATAGCACTTTACCCAGGGCATAGAGTGAGACTGTCTCAAAAAACAAAAAAAAAAATTTTTGAAAAAATATATCCCCCAACTTGTGCATAGAAAAACTATTATAAAGGAATGTCCAGGATATCAATAGTTGTCTCTGAGTGGAGACAAAAGGTGATTTTTTTTTAATTTTCAATTTTTAAGTATTTTCCAAATTTTCTTTACAAGTTCATGGTACTTTTGTGGTGGTGCCTGTGGCTCAGTGGGTAGGGCTCCAGCCCAGTATACGGAGGGTGGCAGGTTTGAACTCGGCCCCGGCCAAACTGCAACAAAAAAATAGCCAGGCGTTGTGGCGGGGGCCTGTAGTCCCAGCTACTGGGGAGGCTGAGGCAAGAGAATTGCCTAAGCCCAGGAGTTGGAGGTTGCTATAAGCTATGACACCACAGCACTCTACCGAGGGTGATAAAATGAGACTGTCTCTAAACAAACAAACAAAAAAGGTCATGATATTTTTGTAGTAAAAGATATATTTTTATGAAAAATAAAGTAAAACACATCCCTGGGACCCCAACCCACGGAGGGCTCCTGACTTCTCTAGCCATCTTCCCAGCCTACCCGTTTTCTCCTCTGCCTCCCAGGGACCCACAGTGCCCATGGACTGCAGCCCATCAGCCCTGCCTGCCGCACTAGAGGACACCACGGAACAGCATGAGCACCACTTTCCAGACCCCAACTGCCGCATCTGCATGGGTGGGAGGGGGACATAGGAGCAGTGCGGGGATGGCAGGAAGACTGGGGCTGTGTGGGGTTTAGCAGCAACAGGGATTCATGGCCTGGGGGAAAGATGGCAGAGTGAGGAGTCACTGGCTCTAAAGCTCTGGGTTGGCTTCAGCTTTGCTGCCTGCCAGTTTCAGCTCCTGCCTCTGTTTGCAGACTGGAAGCCCTTGAGTGAGCTGTCAGGCTCCTTCAAAGCTATCAGGGGCAAGGAGGACGGTGTCTTCCAGAGACCCCCAAGCCTGGCTCCTGTGTCTTCTCCAGAGATGCCTGAAGCCAGGGAGATGTTTCCCATGGAGCCCCAGGACAGGTATGGGGTGGGGAGCAGGGAGGAGGGGAAGCTGGTGGGGTTGGGGGAAGGCTACCTACCAGTGGGGCAGCAGGCACAGCAGGGCTTTTCTTTCTAATATGGCCTTGGGCAAGTCTTCCCTCCTTTGGAAGCCTCAGTTTCCCCATCTGTGCAATGGAACTAATCCCAGGCTCCTGATTGCCCCCTGCACAAGGCCAATATTCCAGTCTCCACAGTGGGGACACAGTACCTGCTCTGAAAAGAAAAGAAGGTGCTGGGGAAGTCCTGATGACCTGCTCTGCCTGGCCCTGTGTCTCTGTCCTTCCCTCTAGGGCCCCATCACCTAGGCTCCAGATGCCTGCTGCACCCACAAAGGCCCTGCCTTGCCAGCCCCGCTGGGAGGGCACTCTGGACATGTTCTCCATCAAGCGGTTCCGGGTCAGGGCCCAACTGGTCTCGGGACACAGCTGTCAACTTGTACAGGTGCACTTGCCCTGCTCACTGACCAGCCTAGTCAGCTACTTACACCCCACGTGTTAATTCCTACATTCTTTTACTCATGCATTCTAAAATAAGACACCCCTCTCTGTGCCTGCCCTGTGCGAGTCATGGCGGCCAATGAGACGCCAGCCCTGTTTCTGCACAGACACACAGGATGACAGACTCCCTGGAGCCCAAGGCATAAACCAAGAATGGCCCAGAGGAATGTGATGCCTCTTTGGCCAGGAGGAGGGTTTTAGGAGTGATCATTGAGTGACTGAAGGATCAGCTCAAGTGCTGGATGAGGGTGGAGGTTAGAGGAGGGAGGAGGGGCTTCTGAGAAATTGCAGGTAATTGGCCAGGACAGGCTGTGGGTTTGCAGGGTTAGTTAGAGCTTTCCGGGCAGCCACTGAGGGTCCAGATATACTGCTACTTACCTTCACCTCAGGCTTTGGCTTTCTAGGTGGCTGGGAATCAGCCATCCTAGATGGGAGGGAAGCTGGGGCCTCACTGACCATCCTACCTGCCCCCAGGCTTTGCCCGAGGTTATTCGCTCAGCAGGCTGCATCTCCCCCAACACTGTCTGGGATCTCCTGGTCAGCATCAGCCCAGCCGAGGCCAAGGTAACTGTCCCCTATTGGGCAACCCCTCTTCCCCTAGCACCTTACTTCTGGCCCTGAGACTGCTCGCTCTCTAGCAGAGGCCTGATTTGGGAGTCTGGTGTGACCGCAGACTCACTGTGTGATCCCGGGCAAGTCCCTGATTCCTCCTCTGGAAGATCAGGTGATTGCAGAGCAGAGGACGACTGCACCTAACACTGCTCTCCTGCAACTGCAGGATATCTGCGTGGTCAGAATGTGTCCACATGGTCCACAGGACACCCAGAACTGCCACCTGCTCTACTCCTATCTCAACAACAAGCAGTGCCACAGCCTAGCTGCTGTGGAGCACATGGGGGTGGTCCTGGTGCCCCTGCCAGCTTTCCAGCCTCTGCCCTCCAGACTGCGCCCTCTGGGGGGCCCAGGTGAGTGCCTGATGCCCATACCAGACCCTGCTTCCCTTCACTTGGTGACCAGGCTGGGCATGGTTGATACAGTCCCCCTGTCTCAGCAGAAGCAGGTACATCTCAGCAGGGAACTCTTGACAGGTGACAGCAGTAACAATAATAGCTCACACTTGGACATTGCTTACTATGTGCCTGCCATTGTTCTAAAAACTTTACCAGGAGGAAGTCTTTTAGCCTCAGAGTAACCTTAATCAGAACACTATTATTAATTAGATCCTCCATTTCATAGATGAGAAAACTGAGGTAAAGAGAAGGCAAGTGACTTGTCCAAAGTCATACAGCCAGTCAGTGGCAGAGCCAGGCTTCACCAAGAAGCATGGCTCCAGAAACTGGGCTCTTGACTAACACACACACTGCCTCTCCAGCTAGGCACCCCAAATAGAAACTCCTGGGGCAGCCGTGTTGGATCCTGGCTGTAGGACAGAGGCAGAACTCACAAGCACCTGACTATAAATGTCACCTATGATAGGAGGGAGGAATGTTTCACCATAGCTCTACTGAGCCAAATTTGGCCTCTGTGCATGCACTCTCTGGGGTGTGGCTCCAGGAAAGCAGGTGGGGTAGCAGTGGGGACTTACGGGGTGGACTGCTCCCCTTCCTGAGCAAAGTGCTTGGCCTTGCTGGGCTACATGTCCTAGAACAATGAGGTAGATTTCAACTCCATAGAATCTTGAGATCAAACCATCTGTGCCCTATTCTCAGCCAGATGAACCTTTATCTCACGGAGACTACATTTTCCAAGAGAGGCTCACCTTCCTAGTTACTTTTCCCAGCATCTCATGGACCCCCATCTCACTGTGGGGAAGCTGTTCTTGGGACCTAAACTCTAGATCTGTTGCAGTCAGAAATGCAGCTTCTGGAGGCTGTGTTCTCTCCCTCCTGGCCTTTGGTCTCTCCCTCCCTGTCTCCTTTCTTCTTTTCCCAGGTCTAGAAGCCACTCACTCAAGTCTGTTGCTGGCTGTGCTGCTCCCTAAGGAAGGACTTCCAAACACAGCAGCGTCTAACTCCTTGTGGGGGAAGGTTAGAAAGATGGTCTCCTTCAACAGGAAAGTGGAGATGAGATACTATAAGCCAGAACACAGGAGGCCAGATAGGGCCCTGAAGAGCTCCCCTCCCCCAAAGAGTGCCCTGCAGCAGAGTCAGGGGAAGGGCAGTCTGACTCCAACGGGCATTTCTGCTTGTCAGAGGCTCCCCAGAGGCAGGGGGAAGCTGTGGGCAGAGCCTGATATCTGCCAGCGTCCTGGGCGAGGGTGGTGGCCCTCAGAACCCAGCTGGTGTCTGTCCCAGCATCCCTATTCAGCAGCAGCAGCTGCCCACAGTTTTGGCCACGGCCAGCACCTCCATAGGGCCTCCTGCCCCCAGAAAGCCCTGCTCCAGCACCTCCAATCCCTAGCGACTATAAGCCACCAGCTCCAAGCCTCACTGTGGCCCCTAGGCCAAGATCTCCTTCCCATACCCCCTGCAGCATCTACCCAGCCCCCTGTACCTTCAGAGCTCCTTGGCCCAGCCCCTGACTCCTCTTTGAGCCCTGTAGATGGAGCTGGCTCTGAGTGTCTCCTTCCTAGAGAGGCTTGATCCTCCTTATCCACCAGAACAAGGGCTTTGATTCCCTCACTAGTGCTGAACCCTGAGCTGTTCCAGAGAGAGATAGGGTGATGGGATAGGAGGGGAGGGTTGACTCTACCCTCCCTGCCATAGGGGAGGGTTGACTCTACCCACTCCTATTGGAGTTTGCTATTCTGTGGTCTGTTTGATGTTGATTTTTTTGTTCAATAAAAAGTTTGGCAAAGTTGGAATTGCATCTGCTAGCTGGTCAGGAGACATGCTGATTCTGGCTAGCTGTGGGTTGGTTGGGAGTCTCGGTGAGTTTCTGAGCACCAATATACACCAATATGTCTTCCTAGTTGCCTGTCTGAGGTCCTGGACCATCACTGGCCCCAGGTCGCAGCTGTTTCCATGTTAGCCTCTGGAAACATTTTCTAAGCCCTCTGAACTAGGCAGAGGAAGAGGTGGTGGAATCTTTTGGAGGGGTATAGACACCTAGAGATTGCCAGGGAGGAAAAGGACAGCAAGTCGCAGTGGTTTTTAATGTTTTCAGTTAATAATATGGTATTTTCTTTTGGATAGATTGAGGGAATAGCACATAGCTCCACCATATTGCCTGTGTGTTTCTGTGTATGTTTCTGCGTGTGTGTGTCCTGTATGTGTCTATTGCCTGCCTGTATGTAGGTCTTTGTTGAGGAATTTGGGAGAGCCAGATAGAGTACCTCTTGCCAGTTCCCAGAGACTGGCAGTGGAGAAAGTCAAGAGTGTTGGCCTTAAGGGTGACCTTCGGGTTGGAAGGCAGGTGACCTTCGGCAGTTGGTGCTGCCTTACCTTGAGCCTGGAATGAGCACCCAACAGCAACTGTAATTGTAGAGCGTCTCATGTGGGATGAATCCAGCGATAACCAAGACTGGGCACGGACCCAGGAACTAGCTGCCCTTGGCTAACCAACCCAGCATAGAGAAACAGGGTAGGGGCTAGAAGAGAGAATCTCTGCAGGATCCTCTCCTTTTAGCCCCAGTGCCTGAAAGAATGTTCCACTTGCCCACTTCTTTTCGAAATCTGCCGCGCCCTGGCTCCTGCTGGGCTGGAAGAGTGGGGCAATGGTTGTCTGGAGGGGCCCTCTCCTCTGGCCCCTTGAGCTGTGCGGCTGCTCTACCTGCAGCCGACTGTAGAGGGGGCCCTCGGCCTTGGAATGGAGGTCGGGGCTGGCGGGCCCGGGGGCTGGGGGTGGGGCGAGGTGCAAGAACTTAGCGGAAGGGGCTGGAAATGGGGGCGAGTGGGTGCAGGTTGCGGGTAGGGAGGGGGGCTGAACAGGTGAACTGTTCAGGGAGGAGGCGGGGCTCCTTCGGGAACTCTTCTGGCTCCGGAGGCTTGGGAGCGCCACAGCCTTAGCGCTATATGCAAATAACTCAAATTACTATGCAAACCTACAGCTCGATTCCGAGTCCACAACTTGGGTGGTTTTCTTGACGCAGTTAGGGCGAAAGAAGGCCGTGCATCCCCTCTCCCGGCCCAGGGCTTCCTCCCGCGGCACACAGAGTAGAACAAGCTCTGTACTCTGTGCAGGGACTTTTTTCAGAGCTTCAGTTTTCCCCTCTATAAATGGGGGTGACAACGCGGCTCTCGAACACCTAGTCCGCGGGAGGGCTATAGGTGGACCCCGAAATCCTGCAGCCCGTCTCGAGGCGGGGACTGGACAACGTGACGCCCACCGACGTTTTTTGGCCGTCGTCCACACGCCCCTTGCTTTCCTCTCTTTTGGAGGCGGGAGTGCAGATAAGGCATGACGTTCTGGGGGAGTGGCCGGCGGTTGCTAGGCTCGAGGGGCGTTGCTATGCAACACTGGGCCGGGCTCGCGTTGCGGGGCCGGAGTTAGAGTAGCCCGTACCCGAAAGGCCACCTAGCTCCCTGGATTTTAGTGGAAGGCGTCCCGGGGTGGCTGGGATCGCGACGTTGCTCTCCCCACGACTTTCTCCAGGCCTCAGCTCCCCCTTGACTGGACGCGGGCTCTGAGGGTCCTTCCGGTTCACACCCTCTGCCACTGGGTGATCCTCTGGGCTCTGGAGCGAAGAACCCTGGGTCTTTGTACACGTGTCTATGCGCCTGCCTGTGCAGGGGGCGGGGGAGGAGGGTGTCGCTTTTAGATCTCCATAGCAACCGCTCCTTTGTCACCCCATTGCTCCCAAAGGTTTGAGCGGTTGCTTGCACAAATTTACATATATCTGCATTAACATAGAGGAGGGGCCGGAACTTGTTTGGGTAACCATCCCTGGACAATTCCCTTGCTTCTCTCCTCCCGTCTGCTGGGCACGTGGGCTGCGCATGCGTGTGTTTTGCTTGTCCTTGTTCTTAGATTTGGGGTGAGTGAACTGTAATAGTGACCACCAATTTCCAGTCCCCACGACCCTTTCTTGAACCATTAGCATGAATCTATCCACTACTACCTGACCAAGGACACCCAACTCCCGGTGCAATGCCAGGCCTTGCTGAAACTCCAGTGCTGTTCTTTCCTGGCTGTGGCCTTGGGCTAATTTAATTCTCCTCTCTATGGCACAGTTTCCTTCTCTGTAAATATAGATACTAATCCCTAAGTCACACCTATTGCTACACTGGCACAAGATGGACACTCTCTCACTTCCTCGGTAGAGCCCTGCTCTTCTCAGGACCTAACCAAAGCAAATCAACCATCTTTGCAGCTCAGATCATGGCAACTGGACACCAGGAAGAACTTCCAGATGTCAGGGCAAACTGGATTGGAGGCAGAGGATGGGGACTGTTGGTTTGCCTGTTTATCCTTGGAGGCTGGAGTCCAGGTTGGTGAGTGTGGACCCTGCCCTACCAACTCCCACCCCCTTACTTCCTGTTTCTCTCCAGAAACCTTGGATTCCTGTCCCAGAGGCCTGGAGTCTGAGGTGGCTGCAGTAGTGGCAGCTGAGGTTGAGAGGCCTGAGACAAGAGCCGAGGAGGTGAAGGCTTAGGAAGTTCCTTCCAGGACTGAGGTGTTTGGGATGGAGCAGGGCTGGGGGTGGGGTAGGAGACTAAGCAGAAACTTTGCTTGGAGAATCACATGTCTGTACCTTTACCAGAGGGGACTAGGGAACCCTGAGGACACTCCATTGCCCCTCATTTTCCCCACTGTGGACAGTTGGGACTCCTCTACCGTGACATGGGAGGCAGCTGAGAAATTAGCTCAGTCTAGAGAACCCTCTCACTGCTGCAGCTATGTGACAGTGCCATGCAGGGAGTGAGTTCCCTGTAAGCTGAGAGACACTCCTTGAGTGTGGCTGGGATGGAGCAGCAGATCCCCTCCTGGAAGTTCTTGTTCATGTTTGGATTCCAGCTGCTCCAAATAGCCTCCTCAAAAGCTGGGAAGTCCTTCCTGGGTCTCATGTCAGCCTTTCTTTCTTTGGCAGAAGGTTGTTCTTACTGTCCTTTTTCCTAGTGTCTCTGTAACTCTAACAGCCTCGGTTGCTTGGGTCAGAGGAGAGGCAGAGGATGTGTTCAAGGGAGAGAACCAGTTCTACTCTATGTGGATCTGTTAGTTCTTAATTAAGTTCAGATAATTTTAAAAATAGGGTTGGCTCCTGTCCTGGGTGGAGGAAGGTTGTTAGTGATGGAGAGTGGGTTCTGGTGGGTTGGTTGGCTTCCTGGAGAAGCTGGGCCTGCATAGGGTCCATGCCCTGCAGTTGTCACTCTGACTGCTGTATGCAGGACTGCAGTCGGCCGGTGGAGGGCAGAGGGCCAGCCACCTGTGCTCCACAGGTGAGGGTTCCAGGGACAGGCTGAGAGGCTGGCAGTGTCCCGGCTGGCCTGCCTGTGTCCCACTCTGGGAGCCAATTAAGTCTCCATCCCTAGCCGAGCCGATTAACGGTTAATAAGGCAGCAAACACCTGCAGCTGTGAAGGCGAATTAAGAGCAACAGTCGGCATAATACACAACCCGATAAGTGAGCAATTAACAACCGGAGAAAGATTAATAGAAGCAATTACGTCCTACTCAGAGCTCTGTAAATATGACTGTCAACGGCTGGGGGATTCAGTCCATTCTCACCTGGCCCCCACCCCAGGCCACAGCCTCTGCCAGCAGGGGTGCCAGCCAGGCCAGCTTGTGGAGCCTGGACCATGGAGCCCTGTACATATGGGATATGCACAAATATGCAAATGCACACGTAGACATACATATATAGACACAGAGAGATGGCCCACAGAATGCAGTCACTCGGATACAAAAATTCCCCACTGTCACCCACACTCACGTTCACACAGATGGGCACACACAGACACATATAGGTCCTTCCAGAAATATACACAGACATACATAGAAAAATACCCACAGTGTCACAAAGAAACACTTAAGAAAAGAGCCACACAGGCTACCAGTGACACTCACATATACAGATTTAGAAGAGACACACACAGCTTTCTACTCATAGGGTCACATATGAGGTCTAACAATTAAGTTCATGAACTCATCCCAGAAAAAGTGTTACATACCTCATTGTTGAATGTCATGACTGTCACCTTCGAAGTTCTCCCCTTGGGAAGCTATGCACCGAAGCCAGAGCCTAGTCCATCCTTCAAAGCAATTTTGGAACTCTTTTTCTGGAATTGCCATCAGAGCTGTCGTCATACAAGGTCTGACAATTAAATTCACAAACTCATCCAAGGAAAAGTGTGACATACCTCACTGCTGAGCAGCACTATGGTCACCTTCAAAGAACTCCCCTTGGCCATCTGGTGACCATAGTGATATGCAGCAGTGAGGTATGTAGCACTTTTTCTAGGATGAGTTTGCAAACCCCACAGTGGGTGCAGCAAAGAATTGAACCAAGAGAACTAGAGTGAGGGTGGGACAGGGCACATGAGGGACAGATAAACATACATGCAAGCAGGTCTCTAAATGTGTGCCCTTGCAAGAATGTGCTTTATCCATTTTTTTTTTTGAGACAGAATCTCAGTATGTCACCCTCACTAGAGTGCCATGGCGTCACAGCTCATAGCAACCTCCAACTCTTGGGCTTAAGCGATTCTTTTGCCTCAGCCTCCCGAGTAGCTAGGACTACAAGTGCCTGCTACAATGCCCGGCTATTTTTTGGTTGCAGCTGTCATTATTGTTTAG